TTTTTTGTGGCTCTTGCTTTTGCGTCACTCCTTTGAAGATGTTCAGTGATGCCATGATTGGTGGAAATAGCTGTACTGCTCCCACCAATGAAATCCCGAGCTGTACAAAGAGATCTACTCTGTCTCACCGAGTAGCATCACCCTCTTAACCGTTACAATGTTCTGCACTGGAGGGGGAGGATGCATATCCAGACACAAAGCATGACTTTCACTGTTATGTCTGAGGACGCATCTACCTTGGATTATAAACCTTCTATACTTAATCGGTCGAAAAGTTGGGACTGGAGTGAAAAGATATGGGATATACTGAACGTGAAATGATGTGGAACAGATTACCGACATGGCAGGTGTTTTTGTGGTGGCATCATTTCTTTCTTTTGTGGACTACAATAGACGGACAGACTCGCTACAGCATACCAGAAGAACTGAAACAGGGCTCTGTGGTAGGAAATATAGCCAAAGATTTGGGTTTGGTTGTGTCTGAACTGCATTGGCGTAAATTGCGGTTAACCTCGGAAGCTGGTAAGCAGTATTTTAGTGTGGACTTGGGGAAGGGAGAACTGGTGGTCACCGATAGAATAGATAGGGAGGAAATGTGTGGGCAAAAACCATCGTGTTTATTGCCTCTGGAACTAGTTATTGATAACCCTCTACAGCTGCACAGAGTCGAAATTGAAATACAGGACACCAATGATAATTCTCCTAGTTTTCTTACAAAAGAAAAGGTGGTAAAAATTGCAGAGCTGGTAAATCCAGGTGCTCGATTTCCTTTAGAAAGTGCGCAGGATCCCGATGTCGGCGTTAATTCTGTGCGTTCTTACATGCTAAGCAAAAACGACAATTTCAAACTGACTGTTAAAAATCACAAGGACGGAAGGAAGATCCCTGAATTAGTGCTTGAAAAACCTCTTGATCGAGAAAAGATGCCTGTACATAATCTCATCCTCACCGCTGTAGATGGTGGAGATCCGGTGCGTTCAGGGACATCTGAAATTACAGTTATAGTACTTGACATCAATGACAATGCGCCCCAGTTTGAAAAACAAGTGTATGAGACTAATGTTAGTGAGAAAGCAACACCCGGGACTGAAATACTGCACGTTAAGGCCATGGATGCAGACGAAGGAGTAAATGGAGAAATCGAATATTTTTTTGCAGAACGAACATCGGATTTGATTTTGTCGTTATTTGCCATTGAATCTTCTACTGGAACTATAGTTGTTAGAGGAAATTTAGACCATGAAACAAACTCTTTACATAGATTTGATATTACTGCCAAAGACAAAGGAAATCCTCAGATGGATGGGCACTGTGGGATCGAAATTAAAATACTTGACATTAACGACAATAATCCTGAAATCATTGTTACATCTTTAACATCGCCTGTTCCAGAAGACTCTGCAGTCGGGACAGTTATTGCATTAATAAGTGCAAAAGACCCAGATTCTGGTGACAATGGCAAAGTTTTACTGACCTTATCCCCCAAATCCCCCTTTAAGTTAAACCCTTCCGTTTCTAACCATTATTCATTAGTGACAAATGGGCGACTTGACCGTGAAAAAAACGCC